ACACAACATTGTATCTAATCTCCAAACACAGTGGCCATTCCTGGATTCTGCTCAATTGGTTGTCACCTTTTCCTTAAAATAGCAACCTTTCCCTCCCCCTTGTCCACACAAATCAATAGGTTACCATCTATGTTTTTCTGGCCCCCACCTCTTCTGCTGTCTAGCCTCTCACCCATCCTACACATAGATGGCCATTCAAAAATCACAAATTTCAGAAGGGCATCAAGCATGGCTACTCTACTACTGTAATTCCAGTTCTTGACAAGTCCTCGATAATATTTCTCTTGTTCAACACTGATTCTTCAAAAGGAGGAAAAACCAACAGGAAAAGTGACAAATACTTCAATGAGTTCATTATAAAACAGAGCAGCCAATAGTAAAACAATGTGAGAAAAGGACTCAACTACATAAACCACCAGAAGAGAAAATCTCAGTAACTACACCTCTACATAATCATCAGATGGTCAGACTTACAGTATCAGAGTGGGGCATTTGGTCCCACATGCATTGCTGAAAGGAGAATAAGCTGGCATACCCCCTACTAAAATGGATACACACAAGTTCTTGATGCAGTAACTCCACCCCCTAGGCCACCCCTTACTGATACACACACACACACACACACACACACCCACACACATATATATATATATATATATATGATGTTCACCAAAGTACTGTTCCTTATACAGAAAACTAAATTCATGGATGGTAAAATGGCTAAATGACATTTGTGCAACGGAATTCAACACTGTCATGAGAATGAATTGCTGGTCCACACAGTAACAATTAATCTCACGAACATGTATTGAGTGAAATAAGTCAGACACACAAAACAACAGAGCATCTGATCTCATAGCTATAAATTTTCAAAACCAGACAAAACTAAGAAAGGCAGTGTGAAAAGTCAGAATTTAGTCAACTTTGGGTTCTATAGAGACTAGAAGAGTGCCCTTAAAATGCTGAGAACATTCTAGATTTTAGTAGATCTGCTGCACATGCACACACACACACACACACACACACACACACACACATACACACACACACACACACACCTACCTAGATTTGATTTGTCTGTATCCTTTCTTTAGAAACTCCTTGGTTTCCATTCCTGTCCTGTACAGCAGACACCAAGACCCTTGTGGCTGAGGGCTAAGTCTCTCTGTCGTTTTAGACATACCTACTCTCAACAGATACTCTGAGTGAATGAGTCTAAGGTAGGCATGGCCCTGGCCCTGTTCTCTTTTATTCGCTGGATTGTAAAGTCTTTTTTTCAGCCTCTCTGCTGGGTTCTTGGGCTTGGGATGCACCTGAAGACACTGTGGTAACAAGAATCTGCTCTTGGAGGAAGAATGGGCTTTGAGTCCAGAAATCGGTATAAACTGTCGCTTTCACCTCTCACAAGCTGCCTGCAAGTCAGTGTCACCCCTACTTTGCAGAACAGGAAACGGAGGTTACCCGAGGTAAAGTAACAGAGGTACGGGCACGCCAGTAAGCAGTTGGGGAAGTAAAGTGGAAAATCAGGTCATTTGATTGCAAAGCTGCACCTTCCCACAGACTGTAAGACCACAAATTCGGCAAATGTACAATGTGGGTCACTGCTTTCCTCAAAGGGCTGCCTGTCTTCCCCATCTCGTGCAGTCTCACCACTTCACTTCCCTGTCAGCCAAGCTGTAATCCTAGGGACTACCTCCTCTCCCATGCTCTTCACACTGACTGAGTCACTCAGTGCTGTTTGCTGAGAGTGACAGTCCGTCCTGTATACATTACTCTTGACACCACAGCATTAGCCCAGGCCTTAAGTTTTATCTTTCTTTGCAGGAAGATTGTAATGGTCTGCATGCTATGTCTCCCAAATCCCAAATCCATATACTACCGAATTCCTCTAATTCATGTTCTCATGGTGTTGCCTTACAAGGTCTATGTAAAATCCAAATATGAGCATGTCTTACCTACAGGATATTCCTTACCTACAGGATAGAGGTCACATCCACCATTATGGCATCCCCTGATAGACAGAGTCACAGCCATGCTCTTCCTCAAGACTCTTCCCTTGTGACTCCATCCATTCTTTCTCTACCTGTCCTGCAACCAAACCATAAGCAGATATGCTGCTTACCCTGGGCAGTGCTTGCTGTTTCCCTGTCTCTATGCTCTGCGTGCCAGCATTCTGTACCTCTAGAATGCCCTTCTCCTACTATCTATCAAATTCCCATGCATCCTGCAAAATATAACTCAGGCATTAGTGTCCCTGTCAAAGCCCTCAAGCAAAGCTAAGGCATTACTTTCTTGGCACAGCTAGGTTTAATGGATGCTTTGACCCTCATATAGCTCATTTCATATTGTGTTATGGGTTACTGTTGTTGTGTTTGTAGTATTCGGTTCTTACTTATAGTACATTAATTAGGAGCAGGTATATATTTTGTCTTTTTGTGTGTGTGTGTGTGTCTTGGCCAGCAAACAATAGTTAACCAAAATACTTGGACAAATGAATTAATAAATGAAATAAATGATATGTGTATAAATGGCCTATTGCAACAAATTTCTTTTTTACTTATCTTTAGTTATTTGTATATGTGTTGTATGTGTGTATATATGTTCATGCATGTATGCACATGTGTGTATACACACACAGAGGCCATGGGTTGATGCTAGTGTCTTCACCACTTAGTGTTTGAGGCAGGGTCTCTCATTGAAACCAGAGCTCACAATTCAACAAGACTGGATGTCCAATAAGCTTCAGGGATTCTTCTACCTCCCCCTCCCCAGTACTGGGATTACAGGTGTATGCCACCATCCCTGGCTTTTCCTTCTTCTTTTCATATATATGTGCATGTACTATATCTGTTTGAATGTATGCAAGCATGTTGACATGTGTGTGGATGCAGGTGTGTGGATGGTTGCAGCTGTGTGCACATGGAGGTGAATCTTAACCACACCTCAAGCTTTCCCATAAGGCTAGTCTTGTAGGCAGCTGGCTCAGGAAAGCCACTGTTTCTAGCTTCCTTGGCACACTCTGCACTTACATGGTTCTGGAATCCAAACTCAGGTTCTTGTACTTGCATGTAAGACACTTTACCACTGAGAACTCATCTCTTTTTCAAGTGAATCCAATGAGAATGTTCACAACAGAAACAATACTAGATTGGGCCATTTCTGTTTGTGAACCTACTAGCAAGCACCTTCAAGAGAGATGTGAAAACACCATCTGGCTCTTGCACAAGTATTCTCGGAGCACACTGTCACCCCCTTTCAGCCTCACCTCAGCTCTTTCTAACCCTGGAGCCATCCAAGATTCTGGCCAGATATTAAATTTTAGAAGGCTAGGAGTGGTGCTACACACTCCTAGCACTTGAGATGACGAGGAAGGAGGATTTCAAAAGATTTCAAATTCCAGTCCAACTTGAGCTACACAGTGTGATTGTCTTACCCACCCACTCCCCCCAAAAAAATTCTGTACAGAATAGGATCTCATTTTAATCTCAAACCTCTGAACCCAGTGGAAATGATAATCAATATTCAAGCTCAAGTTTTCCATGGAACAAAAGTAGTCTGGGATTTCTTAAGGATTATTCTCATAGCAACTAGGAAAGAGCAGAATATCCCTCCTTTATCTCCTGGACTGGAGAAAGTAGGACAAAGGTTGCTCCACCAGAATATAGACAGGTAAATAGTGAAGGTGTGGTACCATCTATCCTGACGAAGAAAGGAAGCAAAGGGCATCTGAGACTTCTAGGGATGGGTGTGGCTGTGAGACCCACTGAGAGAAGAACTGATATCTGAGTTATGTGAAGAGGCTGGGAGAGCATGGACAGGAATGCTCACTCCATGGGCACTTGGCCTGCCGCTTCCCCCAAAGGGGAAAACCAAACTCAGTGGTCAGCAGCCCCTGTGTATATAATGCCACAGTGCTCTCCAGAATGAGACTGGAGATCAGCAGCCAAATGCCCCCCCCCACACACACACACACAAACACCCAGAGAAGTAGTACCCATGCTAGCATTGCTAGAGAGAAGAAGGGCAGTTCTCTTGCAGTAGCCTGCCTAAGCTTCCCCTCATTGTTCCCTTAATGGGAAGAGAGGAGAGGCAAAGGAGAGTGGATGACCTTAGTGGCCATCTGCAGTCTCCTATCACACACACACACACACACACACACACACACACACACACACGCACGCACGCACGCACGCACGCACGCACGCACACACACACAAGCAGGACTCAAAGTGCTCAACTTCCCTCCCCACAAACGCCACCCCCCACCTGCCAGCACAGTGCTGTAAATGCATTTGTGTACCCATTCCCTCTGGTAGACAAGAGGTTGCCATGCAGCTGACACCTCTGTGGTTTACATGGAAGCACCATCCCGCTGTTACACTTCTATGGCAGAGGTAAGAATCACTGTGAGTACTAACTGCACTTGCATTTCAGATTTTCTCTTGACTTCCTGTTTCTTAACTTCACAGCATCAGCACCATAAAAGCAGCTGTTGAACTGATTCTCACTTTTCTAACATCCATATGCCAAGTTGTGAGCATATACATGATACATGAGCTTCCCCCAGCCTTCTAGTAGAAGGTGTTTATGACCTCATAACATCCAGGGAAGTTTTCGAGAAATGTAAAATATTAATAAATCCACATTTAATAAGCATACTGAGATACATGTCAAACATCTCATAACTGGTAGGTGTAACCTCTGGCATAATAAACCTAAATACTATTTATATTGTTATAATTACTTTTTGAATAGCTTTCAAGAACCAAAATCATGTCTAGAATCCATTTTCAAATATACATACATGTCTACAAGTTCTTTTTGGACCTCATTTCAAAGCTCACCTATGTTTGGGAGCTCAGTAACAGAATCCGAAAAAGAAACAGTGTGATTTCCTTTCACAAACAGTATCTCTACCATCACCCTTCCCCCTCTTAGCATCTCAACTTCTGCTAAAACAAGCTCAAAGGAGTTAAGGAAAGCAAGTTTGAGTTTCCTACCTGGACATCTGCTTCTGGTCCTAGTCACACCTCCTCATAATCTTGAGTCTCAATTTCTCAGGTAAATTCACCAATCTGCTGACAAGAAGTTACATATTATAACTTCTCAACCCACAGTGCATACATTACAATATAACTATGAAAATGGGTGAAAACATGGGATCTCCATGTTTGAATAATGAGAGCATAGGCATGTAGAGAAAGGAGAAGCAGTTCATAGGTAATATCTGCTGTGCCAAACTTTGTGGAGTATGGTGTTGCACACCTGTAATCCCGGTACTTGGGAGGCAGAGGCAGAAGGATCTTGTGAGTTAAAGGGCAGCCTGGACTACATACAGAGTTTCAGTCTGGCCAAACAGTGATGAAACCTTGTGTGAAAAAAGAAAACAGAGAGAGAGAGAGAGAGAGAGAGAGAGAGAGAGAGAGAGAGAGAGACAGAGACAGAGACAGAGACAGAGACAGAGACAGAGACAGAGAGACAGACAGAGAAGGAAAGAGGAAAAGAAAATACTTAAGGGCTGTAAGATAAATGATGATGGCATCGAATGATAACCCAAAGAATAAAATAGATACCCATGAGTCCAGTTTGAAATCAATCAACCAATAAAATGTATTGATAAATATCTCTCCCCCACCCTACATGCATACTTAAAGAGAGAAAGCATAATTTTTACCCAATTAAAGCAGAGTTCAGGAGAGGTGGGGGGGGGAGTAATAGCTTTATGGTGGAAAAAACCTGGCAGCCTCTATCTCAACCAAGTAATCAAGGTTGATGTCACCAGAGAGCAGAAATGAAAATGTGATATCCCTCTATCACAATAAAGTATCCTGTATCCAAATGCATAACTTCAGTCTACAAAACTCAAAATGGTCAACCCTAGACAAATCAAGTGGAGTGTATCATGGTATGTAGTTATGCTATCATGTGTCACACTGTAAATGAGTACTGGATTCATACTGGATGAACTTTTAAGCAAACCAAACTCTTTCAATATGTTAATCAGTCATCCAAGTTGACAAAATTCACTCTTTTTCTTTTCTTTCTTTTGTTCTTTCTGTTTGTAGGTAGTGTATAAATGTGTATGTGGACATGTGTGCTCACCCATGTATGCACCTGTGGAAGTCAGAATGTCCTATCAGGTGTCTTCTTTCTCTCCCTCTCTCCCTCCCTCCCTCTGTTTTAGCTAGAAGGACAAGTCAGGGAGCCCCAGGGATCCATCTGACCCCACTCTACCAGCTCTGGGGTTTCCAGAGCATGCTTCCATGCTCAGCCTTTATTTCAATGCTAGAGAGTTGAACTCACAACCTCACACTTGTGCAACCATCACTTTATTCACTGAACCCAGCCTTAGATCACCCTTTTTCAGTCATGATTTTGTTTTCATAGTAACTTTGTTTCTTTGATCTTAATGCCTCCAAAAACACCCAGGAATAACTGCTGTACACCAGTTTTTTCTCACCACCAACAGTATGTCTATTTTCATAATTACTAGTAACAATGCACCTAAAAGTGATGAATCTGGCATCTGTTTAAACAGACTCACTCTATTTCAATGGCTCCACCCTGTCAACAATCCAGTGGTTCAAGACCTTCTGAGAACCCTATCTAGAGGCCCTAGATAGGAAACAGGCATTTCCATCTTTTGACTAAGTGATGCAAACAGAGTGCACATACACGTGGAAGACTGGTGAAAAAATAACAAATATGTGTGATGAGGCAGGGTGTTGTCAATGAGGACAGAAAAGTTAGAACATCCAACTGCTGATCGACCAAAGTTACATTGACCTTCTAATACTCCCTTCATGAGAGCAGGAAAGATCTGGGTCTTTTCCCAACGTTTCTATTTTGTAATAAATAAGTTAAAAGACTGTGCAATACATCACCCAGACAAAGGATAAAACTTTGGATATTAACCATCATGCTCCAACACATTAAGGAAGCTCGAAGCAATAATTTGAAAACCAACTTCAGTTAAGAGGCCTGGGCAGTATATGGGACCTCTGACAGTGGAACCAGTATTTATCTCTAGTGCACAAATGGACTTTGGGAGCCCATTCCCCATGGTGGGATACTCTCTCAGCCCAGATACACAGAGGAGGGCCTAGGCACTCCCCCAAATGATGTGACAAACTTTGATGATCCCCCATGGAAAGCCTCACCCTCCCTGGGGAGTGGATGAGGGATGGGATGGGGGTGGTCTGTGGTGGGCATGGGAGGATGGGAGGGAGAGGGAACTTGGATTGATATGTAAAGTAAGATTGTTTCCAAAATTAAAAAATTAATAAAAAATAGAAAATCAACTTCTCTAGGGCCAGAGAGCAAGCACAATTTCCCCAAAGCCACCCTTGCCATTGAGTAAGTGTTCTTCTCCATTGATAAAGATAACAATACTCCAGGCTCAAGAGCTTTCATGCCAAGAGTGAATTCAGAAAACCTGAAACATAATTTCTGGGACACAGTGTCAATCAACAAAGAGACTTCATAAAATCAGCCCTGCTCCCAGCATTCACTCACTGACTTTGATAACTGATTTCAAAATTTGCTAGAAGGTGGAGAACCAGTGTGGTGGGAACTTTTTCAGACTCAGATTTCTTTATAAAAGTTCTATAATATTTAATGTCTGCTTAAAGTCCATGACACTCATCTCCCATAGATTTTTTCTCTCCCCATTTTACTGAAACGAAATGAAGTAAGAAATGCCAGGGCTAATGTAGAATAGCACAGTAGCAATTTGCAATCTGGAAGTGGCCTAAACATCATCAGTCATTTTGCTACATGTGTAAGGCAGGAGAGAGAACACCTGCATGGAGCTAACACAGTGAGAAGAAGGGCAAATTCACTCACAGAGAGCTACAAACAGAGACAAAACGCGCTATCAGGATAAGACTTGAATTTCTGGTAGTTTTTAGACTTACAAACTCTACTCTTCTACCTCAATTTCAACTAGTGTTTGATGAGTACCCCCAAATGACAGAGAAAATTAAATAAATGAAATAGGGGCATATGTCCCCACTTCTGCTTTTCATGTGTTGAACTAATCACCTTCAATATATTCACCCATCCCCTTAAGAGACATTTTCAGAAAACTCCGTAACTAGCGATCTGAAAAAAAAAAAAAAAAAAAAAAAAAAAAAAAAAAAAACTGGCTGAGAAAAAGGTTTCAGTGTCACATACACTTCCTTTAAATTATGTATTTCCCTAGAAATGTGAACAATAGAACATCAAACTTTAAAAAGCACTGAGAAATACAGTCTACGAATGTGATATTTCATTTCACACATTATTACATACTCACACACAAATAATAATAATAATAATAATAATAATAATAATAATAATTTCCTATCAGTGTGCTAGGGTAGAAATCTAACTTGATCCAGATTCCGTTCACATATTCCTTCCAAAAGAAAATAAGGCAACCCAACGCAACTGGGTGCATGACCAGAGTCTGAAATGAACAGCCCTTTCTTACCCAAGAGAAACAGAACTGAAGGATCCAGAACTTCACTCTTGAGCTTTCACTACTAAGTAAGCATCAACCATACCTACAACACTCTGTAGGAGTGGTTTATGTTCTCCATCCCCAAACTCTTCTCAGCCTACGTGTTTCAGACATGCTACCCAGCACCCTCACGCTATGTTTTATCAGTTAAGTAACCATAGGCAACCCATATTTTCATCTTTGGATCCAAGTTAACACTAGGCTGGTATGTCACATGGACTGTAAGCAGGAATACTCTTCCAACATGACTATTAATATCAACTAAGCTAAACATTCTCAATAACCATGTGGATGGTTTTGCTTGCTTGATTATCATGTTCTAATACAGACCATGTTTCAAAATCACTTGAGGAAAACCAATCTTTCATTACCTTTCCAAATGTTTCCTCTCCTATATGGAAGACCGGAGAGTATATTGAATTCTCATCCCTAAGTCAGAGTTGACAAATATAGTGTTCAGCTATCAATAAACTGTATCAGGTAACAGGTTATTTTAACAAGATTGTTTTTTTTTAAGTCAGTTGAACCAATTAAAAACAAAATGCTGAAGTGCATTATAAGTTCCAGAAGCACTTCCCATTTACATAATAGACTATGAGCCTCAGAGGTAGTATCATAAATGCTTAACAGCACATGGAAAAAATAATTCCCAAACATGGACTGCTTTTAAACACTTAATAAATACGAAATGTATATTTCTTAATTTACCAGTCAGATTCACTGTAAATAGAAATGGAGAGTTCTGTTGTTTGTCTTCTCAAGTCATGATCTCCCTATATAGCTCAAACTGGTCAGAAATTCACCCTCTAGAGTGCTGACTGCAGCATGCACCCCCACACCTAATACAGAAATTCTTGGATATAGTTTTCATCTACCACCCAAACTCTCAGTCAATAATAGCATTTAACCTGTAAATATATGATAAATTAGCATCCCTAGATAGTAAAATCATGATTATCTGACAATGAATAGCATGAGCATTCTATCATTCTTCCTGAAGACCAAGTATCCACTTAAATGTTGAAAACTGGGGGCCCATACTGCCTTTATGACTACTTACAGAACACTAAAAACACTAATGGAAAGCTAGCCCCAAACAAATGACTCAAAAACTAAGCTAACACTATAAAAACCTGTGAATAACAGAAAAAATAACAAACCCATCATACTGATAGTAAAACTAAGTTCAAATAATAAGAATTAATATTTAGGGGCCAGCAAGATGGCTTAGGGGTTAAATACTGTCACCTGTATTTAATCCTCAGAGACCCTCAGGTGGAAGGAGAGAGCCGTCTCACACAAGTTATCCTCTGACCTTCTCACTTCTATTTGTGTGTGTGTGTGTGTGTGTGTGTGTGTGTGTGTGTGTGTGTGTGTGTGTGTGTGTGTACACATCCTCATGTCTGCACACACACACACACACACACAGAGAGAGAGAGAGAGGGAGAGAAGAGAGAGAGAGATAGAGAGAGAGAAAGAGAGAGAAAGAGAACCAGTATACTAGTGCAATAAAAATAGTTTAAAGAATATTA